CAGCCTTCTAACAGGGTGTTCCCAACCTCCCCTCTGGCAGGACAAGGAGGGCTGTTCCTGCTGGGTGTCAGAGCACAGGAACAGAGACAGGTTCTGCAGATTTCAGCAGAGCTTTGCTGCTGCTCTTGTGGAGGGGTGCATGGTCTTGAAAATGCCTTGAGCCCAGTTTGGACTGGGCTGTCCACCAGATCCAGTATACATAGCTCTGCTGGAGTCAGTCTCCAGCAATTGCTTCCCAGGATTTGCATGTGGATAAAAAGGGGTGAAAACATGTCCCATGGCATGGAGCTGGAGCTGGCCACTTTCAGGAATGGGGATGCAACTGTGGAGAGGGGTGTTTCCAGGAACGCTGCACCCACAAGCTTTTCTAATGAACCCAGCGCTGTGCCAGAGGGGCCTGGTTTTGGGCAGTGCAGCTCCCCGAGCTGTCTCCAAGCTGCTAAGCCCTGCTCAATCAAGCCAGAAAACTGCCTCTCTACCCTTGTCCCCCCAGGCTGGTCACATTCAGGGCTTGAGGTACGGGGGTGGTCCTGAGTGTGTGCCCTGCATCAGACTGACCTGTGCTGCAGGGAAAAGAGGCGCTCACCCAAAAAACAGATTCGGGGTTTTGTGGGTTTTTTAAGAAAGGCTCTAAAGCACAAGCTGTAATGTGTCCTGAAGTGCTGCTGGGGAGGAGAGGAGAGGACAACAAGCAGAAGTTGCACCTTCCCCAAGGACAAGGCTGCCCAGGAAGGGTTGCTTACAGTCAGGCTGCTTCTAACTGCACGTAATTTGTTCATTCAGATGGTGCCCACACTTAAAAGGCACTTAGGAACAAAAAAGTCTCAGCCAATTAATTTAATGGCAATAATAAACTCCAGAATTTATTCCTCAGAAGATGTAAAGGCTTTACAAGAGATCAGTAATATTCTGACATGTTAATATTTGTAGAAGCAGAGGGATAGAATGTTGCAAGAGTTGCTCAAACCCACTTTAACTGTCTTTTGGAATAAAAATCCTCTTGGTTCCTTTCTCCAACACATGGGAAACATCCCAACACCCTTGTGGGATTCGCTGGCAAAATTAAAGGCAAAACCTGAGGCAAAGCCCTGGTTTTTTGAAGCTGAAAGAAAAATATAGAGAGGCAGAAAAAGAAAGAAATAGTTTAAAGACTGGCAGTGGTCACCAATCTATTTAGCCTTTAATGAATCACCCTTAAAATGAAGAAATAGGCTCTGAGCTTTTAAAGAACATCCTGTCTCTATTCCATGCTACTCTATCCTATCCCATCCCATACTATCCTATGCTAGCCCTTACTCAGCAGAGGTAACTGAGTAGCCAAACATTTTAGGTCACCTTTCACTGCAGGTCCATGGAAACTTGCTTTGTGCTCTCTAGAGAAACATTTGTTTTAGTTTTACCTGAACCTTCCCTGCAATTCTGATTGCTCAGGACTGTGTGGTTCCTCTTCAGTGATACTTTCATGATTGTGGTTATGGATATTACTAGATAGGGAAATTAGGATTACTTTTCCCTGTAAAATAGCACATAAAATATTATTAGAGAGAGAGAGAGAGAGGTATTTCTCTGTAGGAAGAGACAAGGGGCTGGTTCTGTTGTCCACTGGACATGTCCTGCCTTGGAGAAGCTGCAAATGTGGCTTCCCTGGGGTGAGTGGCACCAGCCAGGGATGGTCCCGATGGTAGGACCAAACTCAGCCAGGGAAGGACCATGCAGCCCTTGACCCCTTACAGGGCTTGGAGAAGCAAAGGTAGCTTTCCTTCCTTGGTGGAAAAGAAAATGTTTCCAAGTAAAGGCAACATCCAGAGGCTCTGAGCTGTGCCACTGCAACTGAAAAAAATCCCCTTTCTGTGGCCAGGGCTTGTCCCCTCCATGGCCTGTCAGGAGATGTGCGCAGAAGGAGTTAAATTGCCCGAGAGCTGCTCCTCACCTCTGAACTCAGGTCCTGGCACTATCTGCTCTCTGGAGGGCAGGGAAAGAGCAGCCTGGCACAGAAGATCAACAACGCTCACAAAAACCAGCCCTGACATCAAGAGGTCTCCACTTCCATTAGAATTGTTTAATTTTGTTTAGGAGCATGCAGGTTCTGGGCAGGGGAATGGGCCAAGGTCAGTCCTGGTGTAAGGGGGCATGGTCACGCCAGCAGCACCTGTAGGGACACGTGCCTGTGTGATGTGTGTGACCTGCAAACATTCCCACAGCCAGCAGCCCTTTCAGCATGGCGCTGACATGGGCAAGGGGCAATGTTGGGCGGGGGGTGAGAGCTGCTGCAGGCTGTGGCTGGCCATGGGCACACAAGGCAGGTAACAGGGGAGAGTTTCATCTCTTACACATGGGAAGGGCTGCCCAGGTGGGCTGGACTCTGTTCACACCTACCTGTCCCCTCTCCTGTTCGCCATCATGGGTGGGCTGGACTCTGTTCACACCTACCTGTCTCCCTCCTGTCCACCATCATGGGGACAACACGTTTGCCCAGGACAACACCACAGGGAAAGTCACGGGGCTCTGCAGGGCAAAGCCATTTGCAGCTTCTCCAGGAATCTGGTGGCATCTGATGTTGAATTCCCAGGTTCCCGGGTGGGGACCTGCACTACGGGGTAGTAGGATTTCCTGGTTGGCCCTGTGTCCTTGTGTTTCCAGAGAACGTCTTCTCCTGTGCCAGGGAGCCACTGGTGTCAGGGCAGTCACCCTGGGTACAAGGAGAATTAATTTGGTCTTAACTCCTCACCAAAACCCAAAATCCTTTCCTAAGAAGAGCCAAGATGTGTGAATTTAACAGTTTTAGTGTGAATTTCTTCTGTTGTACAGAAGCCAAACAGCCAACCAGGGCCACCTAGCTCTCTTCCACTGCTCTCTATCTGCCAGTCGCAAAGCAATTTGCCACTGGAGCAGTGGCAGAGCACTCTGGTGACCTCCACCAGACTGAGTGCCAGGTGGGTGCTGGCCAGACAAGTGTCAGGGAGCTGTCTCAGTGTCCCAGAGCTGGTGAGCAGCCAGTGCTGTACCTGAGGGCTTGTTTCTGCTCTTACCCCTGTGCCCTTCACATTTGCAGGAGGAGAAACATCTGCGTGTTCTGCTTCCTGAGAATACCCTGTGCTGGCAGCTGAGCTCCTGCCCCTCTTCCAGTTGGCTTATGTCCGTGGCCTGGATGGAGCCCTCCTCCACTGCTCTGGGCAAGACAAAGGGTAATGCTCCTGGCTGGTACAGTGTCACTAAGACCTGGAGATGGATAGGGCATGGAGAAGGTTTCCCCATGGAAGTCTCCTGCTGGCGTTGGGCTGTGGAGCAGCTGGCAGAGGGCAGAGCCCTGTTGTACACCTTCCTGGTGGGCTCCACTTGGGCTCATGCCACAGCCCTTCGCCAGGGCTCACCCTGCCCAGCAAGGGTTGCATGGAGCCCAGCTCCCATGGGACATGCAGGGAATCCGGGAGGTGTTTGTGCAATGGAGGCAACTTTGCATCACATGCCTGGCCCTGAGTGACACCCAGTGTGTGCACAGCCCTTGAGTGTCAGTGACCCTCACAAACAGCACAGGCAGGATACACAAAACCAACCCAACATTGCTTTGCTTGTCAGTATCTGTCATCAGGTTAGGCATTTTATGCATTTTAGCTGTAAAAACTTTTCCTTAGAGGATCCTTCTGCTTCCTCTTCTTTGGGTAGAAAACAGCTTTTTAATTAAAGATGCCTTTTTCCATGGAAAATATAGTCAAGTAGATTTTGCTGATAACACCAAGATTTTCATGAAAGAAACAAAAGCAGAAGAGACTGACTAGAAAACGTAAGTTAACTGATGAAAGTATTCTCAAACTTGACCATTTCACTTCAAGTGGAGGCAAAACTGGAGAAAAGAAAAACATATTATTAGATACTCTTAAAAGCTGACAATGCTGATAGCTTGAGGGTGTTGGCTAAGCAAAAAAATCAGGCTTTGACCTGAGAGAGAACAACAATTCAAGCAACATGCTGCTTCCCCTCCCTCATTACACATGGCAACAAACACATAATCTATTCCAGACGATTTCTGCCTAGTAGCTGTAGTCCGGCATGAGGGACCTGTCTCATGGTGGCCAGCCCCTCTGCTTCCCCCAGGGAATTCTGCCCACATGCTTGCCTTTACCTCCTTGCATCCACCACTGAACTCACTCTATAAACTGCTTTTCTACAGGAAGATTCTATAGGAAACTACAACGGAAGCAAAAAACCACTGCTTTATTTTTAATGAAGAGAGAGAAGACACATCCCTTCTGCCAGGTCTCCTTTTGCTCAGAGCTTAGTCTCTGCTGTCTCAAATCACCAGGCTTCCCCTCCTTGGGTGTTTATGTCTGCAGTTAATACTAGCCTTGCTTCCCTGGCTGCAGCCACACATGACACTGAAAGGAGCAGCTTCTTCTGGGTTTGACCTGAACCAAATGACAGTTTTGACCTTCCTCCAAACTACAGGACAGTGGACAGACTTCAAGCTTACTAACATGTAAAAAATTATTCAGAACACCTGAGCTGCCTGCCAGGATATAATTTGCTCCTACCCACCATCTGCAGCTCTCCCTCCCCATCCAAAACCATCCCTCTCACCTAAATTCTCACTTCTTGGGTATAGCTAGCAGGTGTTTCTTCATCTTTGCAGCTGGTCAGCTTTTCCTGCTCACTTTAAAGAGCTGCTGGGAGGCAGCAGTAGTAGTATGATAATACTGAGGATGGCTGTGTTCAGGGGCTAAATGGACTGCTGTGGGGAAAAAAAGCCTGTTCCTATCTGGATCTTAAGAAAGAGCTTTGGGCTCCTGGTCTGCCAGGGCAATCTGGGTGGGCTAGCGCAAGGATGGGAAGTGTGAGAAATGGTGGGTCTCAGCACTCACTGCTTGGCATGCTTCAGGACTCAGCCTCCATTGGTAGATATGCTCCCAGGTATGTTTGATGCTTTGTTTTTTATTTTCACGGGACTATTTTTCACAAAGTGCTGCAAGCTTTAGCCACCTGCTGTTTTCTTTAAGTTTTGCATGTAGTTTTCCTTTAAAATCTCGAGAGCTGTTTGTCCAGCTTGCCCAGAGCCAGGGCTGCTTGGCTGGGTTCCTGCACTGGTTTGCAGTGTCCCTGGGGTGTAGGGAAGAGGATCTGTAAGAGAAAATTGGGCAAGCCAGGAGCTTTGCAGCGGATGGCTAAGAAAGCTTCCTTGAGTGCAGAGAAGTGCTTTTAAGTCTTTCCTAACCTGCTCCTGGACTTGCTGTGTACAACTATAGTGTCTCAATGGGAATGAAAGATGGCTTGCAGCTATCTATTAGATCTGTGGCAGGGAAAAATTTTTTTTCTCCTCAGTAAAAGCATGTGTTTGCAGGAATCCTTCTTCTGTGCTCCTTCTCTGAGATGAAACTGGGGCATCTCCCCCCTTTAGCTGCAAGCAGCCCCTTGCTGGGTGGAAGTTGTGGGCTGCCTTAGGTGCCCCTCCAAACTCTGTGCTTCCTCCAAAACATCACCTGCTGTCCCAGTGACAGTCTGCCATTCCTCCTTGTCTCTCCAAGCTGGCAGCCAGCCCTTCCCAGAGCAGGAGAAAACGAAGGACTTGCTTGGAGGGGTTTGCAATCTGTGTTAGGTAGGAAAGGCTGCCGAGAGCAGTGCCATCCGGGAGGAGGGTAGGAGGCTCACAGATGACGAATCTGTGAGGTTGCCTCTCTGTGCAAGGTACGTGTTGCATTAGTAATGTGTTTGTAGCAAATAATGCTGGGCTAGCATGGGAATGTGGGTCACCACTGCCAGAACCGTGCAGGGGAGAGGGAGCTGCTCGTGCTGTGCTGGGAAGAAAACGTATGTTGCTGAGGGATATGTGGTGGGGGAGATTTAGCTGCAGTAACTGCTCCAACTTGTAAGTAGCAGCTCTATGTTGTGTGAGTGGGTTCCTGCTGCCTGGAGGATTGCTCTGGCCAGGAGCTGAGGGTCTTTGAGGAAGGGGGAGTGGGGTCCAGGGGTTTGTGTTCCTGGTGTGGAACAGTCACATCATATTGGGAAACTCCTGGATTTGCTTGCTGATGCTCTCTGTGGTCCTGGCTGTGCCTGGAGCATCCCTGCTGCACTAGCAGGCACAAGGAGGGATGCAGCCGGGCATGTATAACTAAAGATTCCAGTGTATTTTCGTGACCTATTTCTGGTTCTGTTGTTCAGTGTGAGTGCGCTCAGGAAATCTTTGTGCTTTAAGGGGAGTAGGGTTTGTTAGCGATAAGGAAAAGCCTGCTTGACTGCTTTGGAGATTTAGATCACAAACTAACCTGGCTTTGAAGGTGAACTTGGGCTGGGAAAGGTGGCTCTGAACCTGAACAAAAAGTGATATGGGATGGGGATATACATATCCTAAAAATGTGTATGGTACTTCAGTGCACAGGCTCTAGTCTCAGAGCAAGTCCATTTAATGAAAATGCTTTGTTGGAAAATGCTGCCCTTGGTCAGCAGGGACTTGTTGAGTGGCTTTACTTCCAGCAAAGAAGCAGTGGAGCAGAACAGGGCTGATGGAAGAAAGCATGCATGGGCTGCCAGGCTGGAAGAGGTTCTTGCCTACTTGCAGGCTGTGGAGACCTTGATAGAACTGGCTTGTCCAAACCCCTAGAAGTAAGTCAGGAACTTGTACTCATAGTAAATACCTCCAAGGCAGATGGATTTGTTTCTGTGGCTTGGCTGTGTGCTCTCCAAGATGCCCAAGCTGCAACATCTCCATCTGTGTCTGTCAGTATTTTCCCTGGAGTATTTTCCACATAGGAACAGTGGCAGCAAGCTGACCCTAGATCCAAACCCAAGCTTGTGGTGGCTCAGATTAGGAGGAAACAGGCTGTGTCTGCTGATGGATGGCAGTGACGTGTGGAGGGGGAACGAGGCTATAGGTTGGGTTGCTCTGGCAAGAGGCTACTGAGCAGGCGATGGGAGCCTTCACTCCTCTACCTATTGCTGCCAGTGCAGCTTGAGGCTTGTCCACACACACCTATGTGCCCTGTGCCAACCTTCTCCCTGGCCTTGAGCCCTGAGTGAGTGTTGCCTGCTCCAAACACAGCTGTTCCTCTGCTGCAGCCATGATATCTGACCAGGCTGGCTCGCAGACTGTGGGACAGATGCATCCTGACGCAGGTGTTGGATGACCTTCAGCAGACCTCCATGAGTAAGGGAGAGCCAGACTGTCAGGGAAAGAAGGACTATGCCCAGTGGGAGGAAATGGGCCTTGATCTGTCTGCAGATCAGGGTACTGCCTGCATCCTGTCCCAGCTTGTGGATGCCAGCTGGGACAGGCTCTTGTACCTGCTGCAGGACAAAGTACAGACAGGGTCAGGAGCTCAGACCAACCTGGTGTTGTAAACTCTCTCACTGCATGATTTATAGGTTTTGCTTTAAATTCCTGCTGTCCTTTTCTTATCCATTTAGAAACTCTAAACCCACAGCTTAGTTTTTTGGCTCCTTATCAGAGCTGCACCCAGATCCCAGACCTGCTTTCGGGGCCAGTTCAGTGGCTCTCAATAGCACATAGGTCCCTCTGCCCAGTAGACCCAAAGATCCACGCAGGAAGGGTTCTGCAGTGGGCTTGTATTTGACTCAAAACTTGTCCTACAAACTCCTTGCCCAGGGGAAGGGGCTCTGGTGGTTGGTGCTGCTGATTCCTTAGTCTGTTGAGGAGCTATTCCAAGATGACAACTTGCCTGAGTCTATAAAACCCCTTCTTTTTAGAGGGACAGGGCAGTGTATGTTTCTGTGAATTTTTTGAGTCTTCCTTTCCCTCTAGTGACAGAACTAAGGAGCAAAACTTAGTCTTGAAATAATTTTGCTATCTACTCCTAAGCAAAACAAGGAACTCTTCTGTATAGGTTGCACTTCTTGGGCTTCTCTCTGGCTCAGCCTGTGCAGCAGGGAGCAGGTTTGGGACTGCCTCTATGTGAAGGGAGAGGTGATGAAGATAAGTGGTGGCAACTGCCCACACGGCTGAGGAGCAGGGATGCTCTGTGGTGGGAATCCCAGCTTCCGGCACTGGCTACGTGTCCTTGAGCAAATCACTCACTGTGATGTGTGTGTGCTGGCTTACCTCCTGCAGGGATCTGAAAGGTTTCATTCATGTCCCTAATTACTTGCAGAGTCCTGAATGAAAGGGACAGTGGATGTGCCAAGTATGTGACGTATCCCAGTACAACGTCGTCCTTGTGGGAACTCTCCTTGTCACCCCTGGGGACCCAGGGATGGCTCAGGAGAGCTTGACTGTGGTGCTCTGAGTCCCCTGTGCTGTGAGAGGGGGTGTCCATTTTGTGGCACTTATCCCTGTCCTGTGAGCTATTGAGGGCTCCTGGTGGGGCCAGGAGGGAAGATGTCCTGATTCTTATAATTTCCTGGTTATTTTGGTATGTGAGTGGAAGGGGGAGGAGGGTGGCTGTGGAGAGAAGAGCAAGGTCAGTGAAGAACAAATGTGCCTCTGTGTACTTGTGATCACACTGCCAGCTAATCGGCTTTGGTGCTCCAACTTTCCTCACAGAACTCATCAAGCACAGCCGGGAGAGGATAGGGCAAACCATCAAGGCCTCCGGCTCCAGGCTCTGCTCATAGTGAGTATGAAGTGCTTTCAGTGGGATGAGAGCCCTTTAACAGCTCAGCCTGATAACCCCTGTGCTGGCTGGGTGGTGAATGGAGCTGGCTGGCACCGGGCAGATATGGGCAGTGCTCAGGGACAGCCGCCAGCATCCGCTGCTGCCTGGCATCTCCAGCCATGGGCAGCCTGGCTGCGCAGGAGCGGGGGCTTGGGGATGACTGGGATTTTGTGCCTGGTGGTGGGTGGGGGCAGAGAGAGTGAGCACACACAGGTGAGATGTGGGGAGGCTGGTGGGTTCTTTGGGCCCCCTCTTTGGGAGTGGTATGGCAGAGGGTGGCTGTGGGGACGAGAGCCTTCAGGGCTTCCCTGCGGTGTATGAGAGCTTGGTGGGGCTTAGTGGGAGTCAGCTCTCTGGGGCAGGGGAGAAGGGAACAGAGCTGCTTGTTTTGTTTGTTATCTCCTTAATTCTGGCTTTTGAAAGGAGCATGGGGGAACCCTCTAAACCAAAGGGGGGAATCCCTAGGGTGGGGAGACCCACCCATCCCCAGTGATGCTTGGTCAGGGTGGAATCTGAACCATCAAGTGTTCAAGTCCAGGTTTTCCAGCCCCAGCAGTAGTTTCACTAGGTAGATAAGTCCTGTGCTCACCAAGCCAGCTCTGGCTGCCTTGTTGAGCTCCTCTTCCCTGCAGAGTAAACAGTCCTGAGCTGCCCCATCTGACCTGGCCTAGGGAGAATGGCCTCTGGCAGCTGCCATCCTGATGGCATGTGGTGGTTGGACCCAGCTGGACTCTCCTGGCTGCCCTGTGGGGACACTCACTGGGTTGCAGGGCTGAGTACTGCAGCGTCACTGTGCAGTGGGGTGGGGGGCTGCCCCTGCCTTGAGAGGAGTCTGATCATGGCTAGGAGGACTGTAAATTCACCTGGCCCTGCTGGGCTGTGCTGGTCTTCACGTGTTGGTGTTCTGACCATTTTCTGCTATTTCAAGTCAAGGGCTAACTGTGGTATTTATATGCTCGTGCATCCGTGAACCTTTTTTCCCTAATCTGCTCCCAGTAGCGTCCCAGTGTTCACTACCTCCCCTGGAGTGTGTACACCCCCATCCCCTGGGAGTAGCAGTGCTACCAAGGGAGTTGCTGGGGAACTCGGCTAAGCCTTCTTATGATGGAGGGGTGCACACACCAGGGTCTGTGCTGCTCCCTGGCAAGTTAATGGTGTGAAGATGTTTCTCTCTTGGATTTTGTTTTCAACACTTGCTTTTCTTTTTCCAAGTGCTGAACGAGTTGCTTTTTTAATGGATCGTTCTCGAAGCCCAGACAAAAGCACCCAGGTGAGATCAGGGCTCTGAACCGGCAAATCCTCACTTCTGGGACAAAGGGGCTGGTGTCTTTAGATGAAAAACAAGCAGGAGAGCCTGTGTTAGCCTGCTGGAAGTCTTACTGCTGCCTTGACCCTGTGAGTGATGCTGTGTGGAATAAAAGAAGAGCAGAGAGGACCTGTATAACCTTTTGGACAGGACATAATGCTCCCTGAGTCTGGGGAGGGGAAGATTCCTGGGAAGCAGGAAGAGGAGGAAGAGCATGTGTGTGTGTACTCCTTGTCATTGGGAAGAGGGAGGAGGTAGTTCCGTGGAGCTGGATGTGCATAAGGCCACTTAATGTGGCCTTAGTTAAAAGTTTAGCAAAACAAGTACTGTGTCTCTTGCTGATGGGTATAATCAATGATACAATTGATTTGTATAATCAATGGCTCAGTGTGAGGTATGCTGTATTGAGGAAGGGAAAGTACAACCTGCAGCATGGTCGTTACGACTAACATTATTGTTATCTTGTCTAGCCTTCAACACCAACTGACAACATCAACCTTGGACCTTCTGCTAACCCCAAGTAAGCTCCCTTCAAAGCCAGGTAGGGTGTGGAGTGTGAAGAGGTCTGGCATGGGAATGCAGGTGGTCCCTGTGTCTCACATAGGTGGTGTCTGCAAAAGTCCTAACTTCTACATTACTTGGCCTTTAACACCATGTGTGTCACCAGTGCACCAGCTTTCAAAACATTAAGCTGTAGCTGGTTCTTGTTATCATAATCATCCTTTCCTGTCCATATCTGCAGTCCCTTGTCCCATCTCTCTTGAGAGATAGTGAGGGAAGATCTTCTTTGTAACTGCTGGCTCCCTGACTATCTTTCTCTAGAAAAAGTGTCCCCTCTAAAGGTGTCCCTTTTTCTTAACAGGTGCTTTCACTTGCTACTGTGTTCAGCATGTGGGTTGCTGAGGGATTGCTCATGCTGTGCTGGGTGCACTGACATACACAGTGTGAATCCCGAGCTGGCTGAAAGCAAGGGTTACCCATCCAGTGCCCTTTAATCCCTTTCACAAACATTCATCTTTCCAGGCAGGAACTCTGCTTTGATGGTAGTGTTGCTGTTGCCTGTTTCTCTCCCAGAAACATTAACTTGTTTCATTCTTGCCTAACAGTGCCAAGCCAACAGACTTTGACTTTCTGAAGGTTATTGGCAAAGGAAGCTTTGGAAAAGTAAGTGGGTTTGTACGGGTGGACTGTAGCTTGGAAAGCAAATATTTTGCTAAAGGAGTTCCTAGTTGTAGTCCTTTGCATGTCTCATGAGGTGTTTGGTCTGAGTGTGGCTGAGACTAGGGAAGCCCTGAGATAGGGTCTTCATAGTCCATTCTTACTCTGAGCTGTCCTTCCATCTCTTTAAGGGCTGAAGTGTGAGGTGCTTTATGCTCAGGGTGGTGATGGTAAGGAGCAGTGATTGATTCAAAATGAGCTTCAGAATTGTTCAGGTAGCAAAAGAACTCCAGACAAACCTGTACCTGGGAGACAGCCCGGATCCCCTTTAAATGGAACTGTCCCCAAATGCTCCAAAGCTGTTTTCTGTTGGGAGTCTAAGTAATGTAAGTGGAGGTGTGGCGTGCTCTTTTCTGGCAATGAGAAAGTGATGACAATTCACAGGTCTGGAGCTGTCTTTAAAACTTTGTACCTGACCCTCCGGAGCAGTTCTTTTTGTATAATCATGCACAAGACTATTGAGCTAATGAGGAAAAACTAACAAAAAAGCAGAAGGTGAGGCTGAAACCTGTGACTGGGACCTTGTGTTGCAGGTTCTCCTGGCCAAACGCAAGTGTGATGGGACTTTTTATGCAGTGAAAGTCTTACATAAGAAAACCATCCTTAAGAAAAAGGAGGTATGTTTGCTTTCCTTGGCTATTTCTGCAAATAATGGTCAGTGTATGAGCTATTCTGGTAATGCAATTGGGATACCTGGTAGCTGTCATTCATGCAGGCAATTTGCATGTTAGACATGGATTTCTCTGTGCCATGGGAACATGAAGAACAGAGATTAAATGGGTCAGATAGCAGGGAGTGGTTCCCTTTCTGGGGCTAGAAATGACACTCTTGGGCTCCCAGCCTCCACGTGTTTTGAAAACAGCAGTGAGGCCCTATGATAGGCTGGGCTGGACCCTTGCCTGAAACACTGCTGCCTTGTCTGCTTTTTGATAGCAAAATCACATCATGGCGGAACGCAACGTGCTCCTGAAAAATGTCAAGCACCCCTTCCTTGTGGGACTCCATTACTCCTTCCAGACCTCGGAGAAGCTTTACTTTGTGCTTGACTATGTAAATGGAGGAGAGGTGAGTGCACTTAAAGGCTTCATTTTCATCCTTTTTGGTCCTTCTCAAACATGCTGTTTTATTGCCTAAAACTGTTTCTTGTCAGAGGATAATCATGTTGAGGTATAATGCTGCTTTGACCGCTGGAAAGGAGCAGCCAGGAACACCTGGCATTACCTCACCGGTAAATTGAGTGAAGATCTTGCTGGCTAGGACCTGAGTCAGATGATTCCTAAAGGAAGGATGCTGAGAAAGGTGTGTGTTAGGGATGTTTTAAAATCCTATGGAGAATACAGAAAATACTGATGTTAGTGAGCTTTAGGCAAAACCCACCTGTGGGCTAGCTCTGGATCTGTGTCTAGTGATTGGGTGATGCCAGCACAATTTTATAGAATTTTTCTGTGCTGTAGGAGCTTCCTTTTTTTTCAGCTGTCTTTCTGTTCTATCTGAAACTGTCTGGGAGATATTGTTAATATGGATATCTTGCCCAAACAGAGTTCAGGTTGTGGATCTTGTGTTCAGCTCTATGTATGTATCACTTCTTATGGCCATGCTACCCCTAGTATGTGGGCTGTACTAAACGAGGAGCTTAACTAGATCAGCAGATGATGTTTTTCAGAGAATTACTTATTTATTTTTGGGAATGAAGAGTAGAACAAAGGAAGCAATTTGTAGGAAGGTGTTTGGGTTGCCTAAAGTGGCTTGGTTTGGGCTCATTTGATGTTATTTGTGTGCTACTTGCTGCAAAGAAGTTTTCACTTGAGTAGCTGGCTTTCAGCCTTGCTCCAGATAGCCTTTAGTTATTTAAAAAAATGACCAACCCTTTCATCTGGCTGTAGCTCTTCTTCCACTTGCAAAGGGAGCGCTGTTTCCGTGAACCCCGGGCCCGGTTCTATGCTGCAGAAGTTGCCAGTGCAATTGGGTACCTGCATTCCTTAAACATCATTTACAGGTAAGACGTGTCCTGCTGGGGAGGGCAGGGCCACCAAGTGTGCCCAGCAAGGTAGTGTCAGTGCTGGGGAGGGAAAGGGCTTTATGGGGCCCAGCAATATATTCAGGACTGAAATAGCTGAAGAATCTCCTACTCCAGACAAGACTGACTAAGTGCTGCTGTCACTTTTAAACTTTCAAGAGGGATCCTGTCTTCATAGGACCTGATGGGCAATAAATACTCTCAGACCGATAGTGGGAAGGAGAAAGAATGTTTAAGTGTAAAAATATAAAAAACCCTGGATCAGTAAGTGAGAAATCATTGCTCAACAACAACTTATGTACAGAAATGCAGGCTAACACCTGATCCTGTATGGCAGCAGCCTTTTGATGTTTGCATGTGTGTATGTTGATGGGTAACTGCACTCCAAGAAGGCCTGGACCGGGAGACTTTGTTAGTTCCTGTTCTTAGCTGATGCTATTTCATATCCATGTTTTCTAAGTATCTGCCCAAATCTGCTCAAACAGCACCTTTTGTCTTGCAGAGACCTAAAACCTGAGAATATTCTCCTGGATTGCCAGGTATATTCACAGCTTGGGGTACTTTCCTTCTGGCTTTAAAAGCATCAGAACTATAAACAGAGGGCATGGATTTTGTATATCTGCCCCACTGCACTTCTGTGCAGATCCTGGAAGGAGGACTCAGCCTGCCCTCTGCAGAACTGCACATTTGTGGGGCTGGGCTTATTCCCAAAAGCTGGGACCTGACCTGTGGGCAGGGATCAGGGGTGTGAAGAACAGGTTGCTGCTGCTACTCTGGTGGTGAGACTGGTGGTGAGCACCATTAAACCGTCTCTGGGATAAAGCAGCAGAAAAGTACAGGAGTGCTGGATTTCTTCATAATTATCCAGTTGTAGACAAATAAAAATGGAAAAAAAAAAAATCTAGACTCTACTTTCTTTATAGGCTCCTGTACTTGTACTATAGGATGTCCATAAGGGAGGGAAGGGAGAGAGATGAGCAGTGGGGAACTAAAACCCCCATGAGATGCAATATGAAGGCAAATACTTGGAAACCCTGTCTCCTCTCAAAGAAGATTGAGTGAAGCTGAAATTTCTCTCTTCTTTAGGGACACATAGTATTGACAGACTTCGGACTGTGCAAAGAAGGAATGGAACAAGAGGAGACAACTTCTACTTTTTGTGGCACTCCTGAGGTACAGCATATGTTGGGGCTTTGCTGTGACTTGCTGCTCTGGGTCTTGGGCTTATGTGGCATCTCAAAACATGGACTCTAAATTAAACCGCCTTGGGCTCTTTGAGGTTGTTGGCCTGAAACTGGAGTTCAAGTAAGGCCTTCCCTACTCATCAGAGATGTTTTTTTCTGTACCAGCTAAATTCTGAAATTGCTGTGCTATCAGGGCAGGGATCCCTGCACTCGGAAATGGCCAGACTTATGAAACTGCAGTTGTCTGTGGAGGCAACCTTGACCCTGGGAGCCTGTGAGCAGGCCGTTTACCTGCTCCAATACCCTGGAGCTGCAAAGCAAGGAGCCTGCTGCAACTGACATGCACCCGACCTTACTGTGCTCTCCTATGTGTACTTGGTATGCATGAGTTGCAAAATGCCCTGTGCAGAGGAGAGGACCAGGCTCCCCTCTGAAGTGTGAACATTGCTCAGAAGGGAGGAAATGTCTTTTCTCCAATGTGCCCCAATTAGTTTTTGTGAAAACCTATTTCCAGTTTGGCTTCTTGGAGGCTTTTTTCTTTCTTCTTACTGAGCTGGGGATTTTCGTAGCACTTCAGCCTAGGTAATACACCTGTCCTGCTGCTCTTCCCAGACAGCTTGAAAGAGGGTCTGTGAACAGTATTCAATCTCAGGAATTTCCCTCTGCTTTCATCTGAGAGCCTCTTATGCAAAAGCACAGCATGAACCAAACAGGAATGTCTGAGCTTTGTTTTCCAGTTTTGGTGTATGTTGGTGTCTTCCTGTTCGAGACAGAACCTGAAGGTACAGAGATAATTCTGTGGGAGGCTGTTTATTCTGCAGACTGCTCAAATTCTTGCCCATTGCCTCTTGGTGGTGGTTAGTGGTAGTTTTGCTGTTTTGGACAGACTTGTCAGGATTGAAAACAGCAGCTTTTTCAAAACCACAGGAACCTCTTAGGGATGTGATTTGTCAGTGCAGGACAGGTTTACTGGTTGAATTGTGATGGGTGGCAAATCCTTGTCCAAGTCCTCTATAGCAAGAGAACCCTCGGTAGCCTGGAAGAACACTGGGGGCTTTGATAGGTGTCTTTCAACCCCATTGCCCCAAAGCAAGTGGAGAATATATTAGATCATAGTAGGAAATGCACCTGTGTGCTTCCTAATGCATTTGCTCAGCTTGAGCTACAGCCAGATTTGTGACTTACAGGGGCAAAGCCCTTCTTTATAGCTTGACTCAAATGTTTGCTTCTGACTTCCCAGTACCTGGCTCCTGAGGTGCTAAAGAAGCAACCCTACGACAGGACAGTAGACTGGTGGTGTCTAGGAGCTGTCCTATATGAAATGCTGTTTGGACTGGTAAGTTTAGAAATGGTCTCTTTTACTTTACACAGTAGAGAACTTTTTTTCAAGACCTGTGGTGTGAGGTTGGTCTGGTGTTCACATGATACCTGATAGATGACTAAATCCTGAATTAGATGACCTGGTTTAATCGTACCATTGTACTTTTGAGCAGAGGTTGGCAGGTCTCTCTCATCTACTCACGGCAGGTGTCATTTTTGATTGGCAATGTGTGGTTCCTTATGGTAGCTCATGCTTTACCTGGCTGTTTCTCCTCTCTTTCAAATCAGCCTCCTTTTTACAGCCGGGATGTGTCTCAGATGTATGACAACATTCTGCACAAGCCACTCCAGATCCAAGGAACCAAGACAGTGGCAGCTTGTGACATCCTCCAGGGACTCCTCCACAAGGACCAGAAGAGGAGGCTGGGTGCCAAAACAGACTTTGTAGGTGTCCTCCAGTATGATCAGGAGGGAGAACAGATGGGAAAGCTTTATTATACTGAGCCTTTCTTTTATGATAATACCACTGCATTGGATAAAGCTTTCCATGCAGTGTGTTCCTCCAGCCTCCTAAAAGGGGCGTATGAGGTTGTCTTGGATTTCCAAAGGGAAAGGTGTGGTAGCAAGCGAAGGATACCAATGTCTGATGGGTCATTTCCCTTCAAGGGATAACTGGAACATGACCCTCATGTGTTAAGGATTTGCGAACATGGGTATGTGGTAACTCCAAGTCTTGCTTCAACTCCTTAATGCTGTGAGACCAGCTGGCAGGTGCTGGAAAAGGAGAGTTGACAGAAGTTTGACATTTGCCCCCTGCTTTCTATGCAGCTTGAGATAAAGAACCATATATTCTTCAGCCCAATAAACTGGGATGATTTGTACCACAAGAGGATTACCCCTCCATTCAACCCCAATGTGGTAAGTGGGTGTTTCTGTCATCTGTTATATATAGGAGTACAAAAGAGACACTCTGCAGGTGCCTTATGCTGACACTGAGGATGTTGAGGTGTGGGTTAGGAACTCTAAATGCAGTGCTGATGGCTCTTCTGGAAGAGAAGCTGTGTTGGACTGTTTGAATACAAGTGGCTGGGTTCTGCTCACTCAAAATGACAGTGTCTCTGCTCCTTGGCTTAGGCTGGTCCAGCTGATCTGCGACACTTTGATCCAGAGTTCACCCAAGAAGCAATCTCTGCCTCCATCACCCGCACACCTGACCTAGCAGCCAGCAGCTCCAGTGCCTCAGATGCATTTTTAGGATTTTCTTATGCACCAACTGAAGAGGACATCTAAATTTTACAAAGGCTTTGAGAAGCCAGATTTTAAACTAATGGGTTTTATGTTGGTTTCTTTTTTGTTGTTGTTGTTTTGGTTTGGGTTTGGGGTTGGTTTTTTTGTGGTGTTTTTTTGTTGTTGTTGTTGTTGTTGTGGTGTGGTTTTTTTTGGTTTTTTTTTGGTTTTTTTTTTTTTTTTTGAGAGAATTTTTCCTTTGATCATAGCTTAAGGAAATTGGGACTAACACACTAACTGGCTGGGATGGAACAGAGCTCTTAACTTTTGCTGTTTGGTGGATTTCCCACAAATGTTTCCCTGCCAGGACTGTTCCTCTGGCAGGGAAAGTGGGACACTGATTATGGTTTTTCTCCTGAGTGTCTTGTGCTACCTGGCAGAATTGTATTCACCCTGGGGTTTTATTTATGTTTGAGGTATGTGCCATCATTCACATCAACAGCCATGTCCCTGTAACCGGCCACCTTCTTCCCCTTTGGTTTTTCTTTTTTTGTTTTTGTTGGGGAGCTGTGCCCAGCTCTGTCCAACTGCTTTCCCCACCTACTCAATAGAGAAGGGAATTCTTCACACAACCATGAATATTGGCTTCCTTCCTTTAAGTAGACTATGTCACTTAAGCCACTTATCCTGGACTGAGCTGGGCTGAGGGAAAACTGTTCACCAGTTTTTACTCCAAAGGCAGCTGCAGGTCTGCAATTCCTGAACTGCACTGGGGCCTTTCATGCCAGCCAGTCCCTCCCTAAGGCAAGTGGATCATCTCTCTGGGTGAATTAGGATGCTGCTGAAGCACCAAGGAGGCTGTTATGGAAGAGTCAATGTGTGGGAGGAATATCCCAGATCAAAGGAAGAGGCTGAATTGCTTGGAAAAATAAAAATAAGTCTATGGCTGAACCCTGCTTGGGGTGGGGGGTGTCCTTCACACCATGTGCTTGACTTGACTATGACACACCAACACAACTGTGAGGAGCATGTGGAGCACAGGATAGTGCACAGCAAAGGGTGGCCAGCAGTGCTGTTACAGGCTCCACTACCCATCTGAAAACACTCATCACTGATGTAGAACAGTTATTTATTCTGCCTTAATTTAAATGCTGGTGTATTCATTGAATGTCACTTCTCACTTTTTCTAAGCTGTTTTATTTTGTTGCTATGGGGAGAGGGATCCTAGAGCTTCTACTGCAACACAGGGATAAACAAGGGGCTTTCTGCAAGTTGTGTGATGCTTATGCTGTGGGGAAGCTTGTGCTGGAACAATTTTTTTGTTTTTTTGGACTTTATCTTGTGTATGCTGAAGTCATGGGGAATATGACATGGTTTATATAAAGTGCGAATGCTGCTGTGTCCCTATGGCTGTCCTGGAGGTGAGTGGGGAGGGAGCAGGGTGGGAGGGTGGTTGGTCTATGCTGTGTGTGAGAGCACTTAGCTGCACGCATAAAGTAACTAAAACTGCTGAGTTTAAAGAGGAAGAAATAGGTTAATCATAGAATCATATGATGGTGGGGGTTGGAAGGAGTCTTGAAGCCCCTCTAGACCAGGTTGCTCTAAGCCCTGTCCAGCCTGGCCTTGAACACTCACAGGGACGGGGCAGCCACAGCTTCTCTGGGCAAACTAGGGCCTCACCACCCTCACAGCGAAGAGCCTGCAGACTCTTCTGGGATTGTGATTTTACTGGTGTCCAAGGCCCAGAAAGCTGCGGCAGTTGAAGGGTAGCAGTTTCCTGTGAGGTCACGGGGCTGCCCTGGGCGCTGATAAAGCCGGTAAGGGGCACTCGAGCAAATGGAGAGTGCATACGTGGATGCCCGTGCACCCTCACCCCAGCCCGCCGCAGTGCTCCCGCCCCACCCCCTTCCCAGGCGGGGAAGGGAGGGAACCCCTGAGGCAACCCCTGCACTCCCGTGGAAGGGGCGGAGAGATCCGCGCATGCGCCCGTCGGGCGCGTTGCTAGGGGAGGAGCGCGCGTGGAGCCGCTGCCTCCCGCTGGGCACAGGGCGGGACGCCTTGGAGAACGCCGGGCGCTGAGGGTTCCCCGCTCCGCACCGGAGCTGGAGCCCTTCGCCAGGCCCCGGGGAGCATATGGAGAGCGGCCCGCGCAATGCCATAGTGTTCAACGCGTCCAAGGGGGAGAGCTTCACGCCTGCCGGCGGCTACAAGGCCTTGCGGAAGAGGCTGCGCGGGAGCTGGAAGGTGCTGAGGTGAGGGGCGGCTAGGAGGGGACAAACAAACCTCCACGGGTTTGTGTGGTCCTCGTTGAGTACCCGAATAGCCTTTGGGGACCGTAGAATCGTAGAATGGTATGGGTTGGAAGGGACCTGAATCATCTTGTTCCAACCCCTTGCCATGGAGAGGGACACCTTCCACTGGACCAGGTTGTTCTGAGCCCTGGCCAGTCCCATCTTTAATGGGATGTATTTCATGAGCTAAGGTCGCTCTCTTGCATTAATTGCTCTGTGGTATCAGCTGTTCTGTCGCTATGGGATGTTGTGCGTGGTTCTTTGGAGCTTCCAGCTGCCTTGCCTGTGGAAGAGATAGAGTGTAAGTTATAAGGTTGAAAATCCTCATACAGGTTTTTGAGTCTATCTGGGTTTGGAGTTTGGGAGGCAAAAGAAAACGGCCTTTGTGCAGATGATATTGTTTATCTGTTCTCTACAAAGCAGCATCAAACTGTTTGGGGGGGGGGTAGGCTGGATATCAGGAAAAGGTTCTTCCCACGTGGGGTGGTTGGGCCCTGAACAGGATCCCCCCGGACAGCGGTCACAGCCCCAAGGCTGCCAGAGCTCAAGGAGTGTTTGGACAACACTCTGAGGGACAGGGTGGGATTGTTGGGGTATCCTTTGCAGGGCCAGGAGCTGGACTTGATGATCCTTGTGGGTCCCTTCCTGCTTGGGATATTCTGTGATTCTATGAAATGTGCCCAGAGCAAAAAGAAGAAGAAGAATCAAAAGAACAAGAGGAAGCTCCTCAGGTGCAAAGTTTAATAACAGCTGTGACAGTTTATAGTAGCTCTGGATCTGCCACAGTACCTTGTTAGAGGAGCTTTACTGTTTAGTTGGTTGACAATTGTAAGGATTGTTTTTGCTCAAGCTGTCAACTTTAAACCCAGATGAAAGGATATGAAGTGACTGAAGTGATTTGCTTTGTGTTTGTTTGCCAGTCCTTTAAAAAAAAAAAAAGAAAAAAGTTCTGGTTTTGAACTATATTCAAGAATAGCATGTGCCTTTATTAATCTATTCATAGCCTAAAAGATGAGATCACATCGGAGAAACTGTTTGGAGTAAAACTGTGGATTACAGCAGGGCCAAGAGAGAAGTTCAGTGCTGATGAGGTAAGACATCAATAACTGTTTTCAAATTAGTTCTGTTTTAAGATTTGCTTAGATAGAAAAGAACAACACCGAAGACTGCAGTTGTGCTGTTTTAGATGAATTTACACAAATTGAAATTTGAGTGTTTTTCTCATAGGAACAAGTTAATTGCAAGCAGTCAGAATCCTTTACCTTCCCTCATAACTTCCTGCAGTCTTGTGTGTATCTTCATTCATGTGTGTGTTTGTTTGTTTGTTTGTTTGTTTTTCCTGGATCTTTGTTGTCTTCCAGTTTTACGTTCTGAAGAAATTCCTGGAGGATGGTGGAGCCATCCTGGTGATGCTCAGGGAAGGTGGAGAGTCCCGTAATGGCACAAATATTAACTTCTTGTTAGAAGAATATGGGATCATATTCAATAATGGTAATGGGGCTTACTGAGAGCTTTTATTCATCTGTTTTCAGCAAAATCTAAAGAGCAGGTTCAAACTTTGGAGATACAAGCCAAGAAAATCCTTCTCACAAAGTATCCCTTGGTCTAAAAGATGTTTTTTCTTCTTAAATCTACATGTATCTGGCAGGGTAATACTGGAATACATCGAGAGTTTTCCATGGGCAGAGTACATGGATAACAACTTAGCCATTTCCATTCCTTTGCTGTACTTGTTAGTGTTAATGGTATTTACTAAAGAAAATTAATTCTAGTGACATTTCTTGATTAAAAAGCCTTTCATTTAAGACATTTTCCACGCATTTTAATGAATTGAATCACTTCATGCTCACCCTGAACAAAGACTGGCACTTTTCTTTAGCAGACCAGTAAAATGTCATTCAGTGTGAAAAAAGAAAAACCAACCAACCTAAGTCAGCTGTATCTCAGTGTACTAAAATATTCTTAGGGTCTTTAGTGGCTTTTCTAAATGATACCTTTTTGTGTATGAACAGGATTCAGTTCATCCTGGTTTGGAAGATACACTGGAAAAAAGAATTTGGAGTTGTAAAATTTGTTAAATGCTGTTTTAACTGGATCATCCTTTTGCCTCTTCTGCTTTGCAGAAGGTGGAGAGGGGCTTATTTTCTCATATTATTTATCAGTGAAGGCTGATTTGAATTCTTTTGGGAACCGAATGCTAGTGCTGGAAGCACACAGCCAGGGAATCCAAGAGCTAAACCAGTTTTTCATTGCTGTGTCTAGCACACTCATCAGCTAAGATGTAAATGTCTATATTTTTTCTTTCCTCAAGATGCTGTAGTACGAAATGTATATTATAAGTACCACCACCCAAAAGAAGCACTAATCTCTGATGGAGTTTTGAACAGGTAAATATTTGGAGTATATAAATCTTTACAGTAAACACTTGCAATCTGTATTGCTTTCAGTAAGTTTTGCCTTTCAACATCTTGTAGGGGAATCTGTGAAGCTGCAAGAAAAACAGTACTTGAGACAACAGATGAAGATGGAAGTGGGCATGACTCACAGTAAGTGTTTTTCTGTGAGGAAACTGATGTGAAAATATGTAGAATAACTCAGAATTAGCAGGTTTGTGATTAGCAGCAGTTTGTTGTGCTTGACAATACAAGGTTTTATAATGCATTTCTTATGTCAGCTTCTTAGGTTATATCTGGAAAGGAGGATCTATTTAGTAGTGGACAGAAATTGGACAGAAATTCTCTCATGATCTGATCTTTTTTGCCCCTAGTCTGTGAGTTTGAATTTAATTAAAAAATGTAAATATTAATAACCTGGAAAAACCTGTAGAGAGAGACTGAAATGTGGTTACAATGATCTGCATGTTGGAAGCAAGGCTTTGGCTTTCCACCGACAGTGCACAATTGCAGTTTGCACTGTGAGTTTTATAAATATGTGCAGCCTGCCTTATACATGCAGGTACTTAGGGAGTTGCTGTATTTCCTGCAGAGCTCTCACTTTTGTGTATCCTTTTGGAGCCACATTGAATGTGATGAAACCAGCAGTGGCAATTCTGTCAACAGGATCCGTCTGCTTCCCACTCAACAGGCCTATTCTGGCTTTCTATCAGCATGAGGTAGGATTGTGCCTGTGACATGCCTTGCATTCCACCTACAAAAACTGGGAGTGTATCCTCTGGTAGTACTTACAAACCCATGTCTGTCTTTTGATGCATCTGCAAAATCCAGATGAGCCAGTGACTCCTATCTCTTTTTATGGTAAACTCCTTTGCATGGGGCTCAGAGGAGAATTAATTTGATGGTCAGCAAAGATTACATATTTTTTGTTTGACAGATGGATGCATTTAGTTCTTTGTTGAAGTTTGGGTTTTTTTCCTACCCTTTTAGTGACAATTTATTAAGACTATCATTAGCTTCATAAGTACACCATACCGAATTAATTACTGTCACCTTGGAATCAGTAGGTTTTTCATATGTTATCTTACTCATCCAGACTTGATGCTTTATAAAAATAAATTCAGAAATCTAGTAGTAGTGGATGAGTACAAACAAAGGATTGATATTGTTAGTGAATGTGAACAAATTAACACATTTCTTACTATGTAGGTGAGTTTCCTATTGTGGTTTTCTGATATCCTTGTTAGGAAGGGGATTTTTTTCTTCCTTGAGGATGCCCAACTTCATTCCCCCCTACTGTGGCTGAAATGAACTGTGTAAATCAAAGCAAATACAGCAGCATGAAGTGAATTTACAAGTACACTTACTGCTTGCATTTTGTCTGCAGCTGTCAGAGTAAGATATCCCAAGGGAGAAACTTGGTAGCAGGAAAACAAGATCTCTCAGATTGGAAAAGAGATTTGATAAAGAATAGGAACAGAAAGTGAAGGAATGGAAAGAGCGAGCAGAGGATCTACCCAGTTGTGGGTAAAGCATGTAGAGTTAGCTTAAACTGCGAATCATGGAGTGTGGAACATCCGAAATGTGTTAAACAAACTGGAGCTTTATTTGATGTATCAAATAAACACTGAAGAACGGGTTGCAGAAAGTTAATAAAGCAGTAACAGTTATCTCTAAAACTGTGATTTGGAAGGAGTTTTTGCTAAATTGTCTTCTTTGTTGA